AACAAATGCAGAAAAAAGTCACTTTGATTCAGAATGTGCATTTTGTTGATCTAGTATCGGAGTTTCCACAACATGGCAAATAAAAAACAAACGAAATAAAATAAAACACACCTCGGCGCAGAAATCCAGTCCATACCGTCCTTGAGGCAGCTGCGATTTTCAGTAGGATGAGAGCCTGGGGACGAGGTGCACTTCCAATAAACAAAATGGATTGGCTCAGTTGGGTCAGTCAGTTGGGCTATACACAGCTTTGTGTTGTACTTGGTACCGTCTCATTGCGCGGTAAGAAGGATGCAGAAGGAGAGCTACAACTTTGGTTTCGTGCGATGTTCAACGATTGCCGCATTTTATATGCCAGTAGGATAGCGGGGCATGACGAGATGGTATGTGAGTTATTGATGTTTTTCCTCTTCCACTTCCAAGAGTGCACTGACAAAATCAGCAAAATCAAAACGTTATCAACAGAGAAGTCGAAATTTCATTTCGCCCAATACTAAAAACAAATAGTACCATGTGAGAGTACTGATAGAGGGGTTTCGTCCAGGGGCTCAAGAGTTAGAACTAATTAAATTTTATAGATCCATGACTCTAGGAGTGAAAGGGTTTTAAATATATAATTGAACAATACAATTATAATTAACTGGTTCAAGACTTCAGAGGTAGCGCATCGTTTTATTACTACAGCTCTCTTTCGTGCGGCCAAAAGATGACCACACTCATCAGGTAATATCAACGATTGACCGTTAGATTACAACAACTGGCAAAAAAGCGGAAATAAGGTTGCTATGAGATATAAAAACAGCGTTATGTTATCATATAAATCATGTGATTTCTATTTATAATTTGGGAGATTGTGTTACTTTATCATAAAGTTCCGTGAGGAGGTACAGTGAAACCTCTATTAAGCCCCGGGGGGGTTACTTTCTTGAGTAAGAGGTTAATGGGAATGTGCCGCTGGATGTGGTCGCATTTTGATGACTGGATTGACTATAATGGGGTCGCATTTTCAATAGAGTTACTAGAATGGGGTCGCACATTTTCGGAGTTTTTGGGGTTAGACAGTTCTTCATATTTACAGTTAGCAAACGTACCAGAATGTTTGTACTGTAGGTGAAAAGTAAAGTCTTCTTCATTCAGTTGAAAAAATGGTTCAATTCATAAATATAGAAAGTGACTGACTTGGGATCGCGAAAATTACATATTTTCCAAAAGGTGACTAAGATGGGGTCTGCAATTGGTCACAGAATAGAATATAATGGGGTAGGGGCTCTGAGAGGCAAGACAAGACTGGCACATACCCAGCAAAAATTTAGCCAAGTACCCCCCCCCCCCCGCCCCCACAGGTATTCAGCGGACACCTTCGGGACCCTCCCAAGTGTCCGCTTTTCATAGAGGTTTGTAAAAATTGAGCAATGTTTGTTAACGATTAACATTCAACGGTTACTCTGTACTGTGATTAAGTTCCATGTCGTTGAGGAAACTAAAAAAGCTGTGCTGTACTTTGCGCAAGACTTTTGGGTGAACTTTGATCACGGATGACGATTATACTGTCGGATATCGGAGTAATATACAGTTTATTGACCTCTTCATTTATTGATTTATCTCTATTAATCGACTACAGTACGTATTTCAAGGAAGTAAATCCAATACTAACGTGACCTCTCCTTACTTTTTTCAGTTCGTAATTATGCCTGAAACTACAATAAAGGTCACCAAGGATACAGTTACCATTAAAGAACTAAAAGACTGGTGGGGTCACGAAGGACAAACTGTTCAACTAAAAGATACTGATCCAAATGAGCTTCAGCTTTTTATTGAAAAGATGCCCGTCCCAATCAAAGGTGAAAGTGTCCAAAGTAATTTCCAAAATTTTCTTTAAGTTTTGGTTTTGGAATAAAGAGGTACATGGTTGAACCTCTGTGCAAATGTATTTTTATGGAAACAAGCAGATTAAGGTTAATATGGTGAGGGTAGCTTAAGTTAGTTTGGTTTTGGTTTTTGAATAATAAGAGGAATAAGGTTAAACTTACCGTATGTACTGAAGTTTATAAAAACAGGTGGCTCAAGCTTATGGCTAGAGTAGTTAGTTTGGTGTTTTTTAATTGAGAAGCATTTGATTAAACCCGTACATTTGTATGGATAGCTGGGCTGAAATATTTATAATTAATGAGTAAAATATCCATCCATATACATTAACGCTTATAAATTTTGTCAACCGGGAATCTTCGCGTGAAAACATTGTTTGCTGTTAATAGTGTCAAGAGGAGTAGACTACAAGAACAACATTGGTCTTCTTAAAAGCAACAACGCCAGTAGAGCATGATATCCGTCTGGCCCCTATTCTAGTGATTTGGAGTCAAAAACATCAGATCATATTCAAGACTAAATGAAAGCTTTGAGTCAACTGCATTAGTCTGTAATTCAGAAACCGATTGATGTGAATTGCTTCCTCGCGCGCCTCATTCTTCTCTCGCGCTGACGGTTCCGCCGCCAAAATTTCCCCTGACCCTGAATCGTCCTCAGTAGTTTTTCTTATCAAAATGTAGTTTACGTCATAGAAAGTGCTTTGTACAGGGTTATATTCACGAGCTGTTTGTGTCAAAACCTGAACGAGCGAGATACGAGCCAGTGAGGGCTTTTGACACAAACAAGTCGTGAATATGACCCCGTACAAAGGACTTTCTATGACGTGAACTGTTTATTACACATATCACGAGAATTTTCACTGAAATAGTTTTCTAATGTAACACATAAGCTTATTACTAAGAGCAAATCACAAATACTGAGATGCAAATGCAAATGCAAATTTAATAGCAATGGCAAATCTCGCAGCACATCCTTAGTCCTCATCGTGCAGAACAGAAAATGCACTTACAAAAATTTAATCTAGTATGACGTTACAAAAGACAGACCTCAGCGATGTGGGCTTGTAGAGAGGAGTTCACGCTCATAGTTGCATCATAGGTAATCAGGGCAAGATGGAGGGAAATTCAAAGATTTGTATTGGAATTCAAAGCCCGCTAATTCTTCCTGAATTCCTATTTTTGATGCTTGATTTTCCCATACAGTTTCTGTAATTCCACAGTATCAAAATTATAGAAAATTTATATGGAAAAATTCAGGTTTTCTAAAAACTCATCACGGATGTCTTTGCACTCCAGATTTAGTGTATTGTTTTTTTGAACTCGTAAGTTACCCTTTTTAAAACAAACAAAAGCTGAAGTATTTTGGCCAATGTAAAGAAATTAGGGCTTGGGAAAGATCATCTTGGAGGGAAAGATAGATGAGAAAAGGAGAGAGGAAGACCGATAAAGTAGAGGGGAGGGGACATGTCACTAACAGAAATAGGAAGATTGGCAATTGGTAAAAACTGTTTCCGCTGTGCGGTAAAAGATGCAACGTCCTATGGGATAAGCAGTTAGACTAAAAATGCGAGCGTGATTTCAATTTTGGACTGGATCGTGTCGAAACGTTTTAATATCAAATCGACTGATTTAAGGTTCATCTGAACAAAAAAATGAGAGCTCGTTAAAAGAAGGGTCTATTCTTGGACACAATTTTAGTTTTAGTTTACAAGCAAGCCATAATTATTTAGTGACAATCGGAGGGAAACGAAATTCTGATTTTCATCTTCTTCATCAGTATCTCTTAAGTTTATGTGTCGCTCAGTTTCAAGTTTCAAGTTTCAAGAGAGGAACGCAGTACATTTAAAATTTTCTTTGAAGTCAAAATTTTTAATTTTTCTTTTTTAGGTGACACTTAATCGGGTTGCCCATGTTACTAGGGTGATTTTCATGATTACCTTGTTTTGTTTTTGATCATGAATTATCTTTTCAGAAAAAAAAAAACAAAATCTACGCAAAGCAAATTCGCCAAGGCGAACCTCAGAAATAGAAAGTCAGTGGAGGGATTTTCAGCGACGTGGGGAAAACTTCCAGAGACAGATACGGGAGATGCAGCAACGCGAGCAGGATTTACAAAGGAAACTAAGAGTGGTTAAAGAACGTTATCAGGACTCTAAAAGCCACCTAACGGATATTGAACAACATGAACAAAATATGCAGCGGCTATTGAGAGAGCTTCAGGAACGAGAAAAAAATTCTCAAAGGCAACTGATAGAGTTTCAACAACGTGAAAAAAATATGCAGCGGTTGTTGAGAGAGCTTCAGGAAAGAGAAGAAAATTCTCAGAGGCAGCTGAGGGAGTTTCAACAACGTGAAGAAAATTCCCAGAGGCAGCTGAGGGAGTTTCAACAACGTGAAGAAAATTCCCAGAGGCAGCTGAGGGAGTTTCAACAACGTGAAGAAAATTCCCAGAGGCAGCTGAGGGAGTTTCAACAACGTGAAGAAAATTCCCAGAGGCAGCTGAGGGAGTTTCGACAACGTGAAGAAAATTCCCAGAGGCAGCTGGTGGAGTTGCAGCTGCAACTGAGGGAGATAGGACAGCAGTTGACCAATTGCCGAAGACAAGTTTCTGAACTACAGTTAAGTCTTTCAACAGCACAGGAAACAATAAATCAATTGCGGAACCAGGAAACACGTGACTGGGTTATTCCCCGGGACGAAATTCAAATCACAGGGAAATACCTTGGGAGGGGAGGATGGGGAATTGTCAATGAGGGAACGTATTGTGGCTGTTCTGTAGCAGTGAAACAGATCCATGAGTTGATTCTTTCTCCTCATAACATAAATCTATTTGAAAGAGAAATGAATATCGCTTCTAAATGCCGCCATCCTCACTTACTACAGTTCATCGGCGCCACGAAAGATGAGGGAACTCCTCTGTTTGTGACCGAGCTGATGGAGAAAAGTCTGCGCACTTTGTTGGAGCAGCGGCAACTCTCCGAGACAGAAATAGCCGTCATTTCTCTGGATGTAGCACGTGCCCTGAACTACCTTCATCGAAAGAAACCAGAGCCTATCATTCACCGTGACGTCAGCAGTGCGAATGTGTTGCTATGGCGACAGGGTGACCAATGGAGAGGCAAAGTGTCAGATTATGGCACTGCTAATTTCATGCAGCAGACAATGACAGTAAATGTAAATGTAAATGTCGCGATTGAGAGGACAAACATACATGTCCTCTTTACATAGCTTTACATAGCTCCTGGAGCTATGATTTACAGCGGACCTGAAGCACTTACATCAAACCAAACAGTCAAGGTAAGTTTTAGTCACTGTTCAGGGCTGTTAACATTAACATAAGAATTAAGTGACCCTTACCCATGCATCGTATCGGTCGTGGTTTCTTCTTTCCATTGTCATCGTCGTGGATCACGGAAGAAGTGGCCGCGTTAGTTTGTTGGCTTTATAATGGCACAGTGTTATGTTTTGTTATTGTTGTTTTTCTTTTTTAAGCTGAGTAGAAAACTGTTGTACCTGTTTAGCCTCTTGACTTATGCAACGGACAGTTTTATTGCAAAGTGTCCTGTTGAATTTCTCGTTTTATAAGATACCTGTAAATCTGTTCAAAATTAGTCAAGTATCTGCCATTTTTGGCGGTGATTTTGCCACAACGCCCATATTTAGCTCATTGTTTAAAATTAACCAAATCCATCGGTGAGCACCGAAATCTGGTCTTAATTGTGCTCTTAAACGGCGAAATTTCAATCATCCCTTCTATGAGCTCCCTCGTGCTCTGACCGCATTTTCGCGCGCTCAAATGCTCCCCTATCCTACGCTTGTAAGTTATCAGTCAACCTCATTTAGACCATCTCATCAGTGAATTGGTTCCGGTGCAGCTTTAAGACATTTAGCCGCTACAACATGTAGATTATATAAATAACGAGACGCCTAAAAGTTGTCCCTGTAGGATAAAAGGCGGAAAAATGTTATTTGAAAACGGTTTTTCCGGTCTGTCTACAGTCCCCGTATAATCGCTATTTTTGCTCAAAATCTCGCTCATAGATTCTTATATTAAAGAGCTTTTTTGCCTCCAAATGGACCCCAGTGTTTATCCGCAACGGTAATTCTCCGGTTTGGGTCTCAGAGGACTCACTTCAGCTGTTTTGAACAACTGCCCTGAATAATACCCCTGCAATGAAAACCTAGCCTGCGTTGAAGACGTAACGTAACCAAACCCAGTAAGTAACGTCTGCGAAACAGGGCCTAAATTCTTTGTTCTAAGCCTCCACCATTGTATCAAGATTTTAGTACGCGCCATGATTGGCCTGTTAAAGAAGCCATTGCCAATTTACCAATCATTTTGAAAGGAAATTCGAAACACTCTTCCGGTGATTCGTTGAATCCATAGGGGTCCAGAACAAGGATCTCACCGCTACTTTGCAGACTTTTCTAACCGGGGTTAGATAACGTCCTCGACGCAGGCTATTAAAAGCAAACCTCGTTGGATTTTTACTAACTGCAGCAGGATTAGCTCAGTCGTTGACTGAAGAGCGGGAGTTGAGGGTTCAATTCCCGGTCGGACCAATACTTAAGGTCTTAGAAATGAAGGCACTCCTTTACACTGCAAGCGGCTGGACCTTCGCGTGTCTTGGATGACCAGGTAAAATGGCGATCGTGTGTCCATTTGGAGACGTTAAAATAGTGTCCCCAATTAGTACTTTCCTGCTAAATACCTTGACACTCAGGTAAATTGCATTTTTTTAAACAATATTGACTTCTTCAAATTATGTTTTATTGTTGCTAGGTTGATGTCTACAGCTTTGGTGCTCTTCTTTGCGAAATGTGCATCCGGCAGCTTCCAGATCCTCAAAGGCGTAACGAACAAGTGGTGCTGGTAACGAACGGTGTGTTTCGTGGCCTGGTGTGGCGATGCATGCAAAGAGAGCCTGGGGCGAGACCAACCATGCAGGAGATAATCGATGAACTGAAAGACTTCGATCCAACTTCTTAATTGTAGAAAGAACGGTATGCAATATGCCGATTGAAAACTCGCAGTTTTTAAGAACTTCCTGTGGAAAAGTTGAAAAAGTAGGAACAGTTTTGCTTGACGGTTTTTTTTTAAAGTAATTCCGAAAAAGGTGACCATATTCGCGAGCGCTTACTCAGCTCTTAGTTGTTGCAGGGAAATAATGCAGTTTCCGTAGAAGTCAGGTACTTGTAGTAAAGAGCTAAAACAATGAAAATCAAGTGGCAAATGCCAGTAGCAAATGAAATGTAACTACATAGCACATGATAACCAATCAAAATCAATAAAAAATATGGCGACTATGTAAGCTGTTCAGCTTCAACTGAAAAGAAAAATGGATGAAACTAACTGGTCTTTAGGCTTTGGCAGCTTGTTAAATAAGAAAAAAAGTTCATCGTGCGATCGGGCTTCCACATTCCGATAATTTCATGCAAAGTTGTAACCGAACATGTTTTCGCTTTGGAATCCTTCTCTTACATTAATAAATATTCCAAGACTGAGATTCTCGCATTTTGTTCTTGATACAATTAATTGGTAATAGGACTTTGTGTCGTACAGTTCAGGGGTAATCGCCCGGGCTCGTAATTAACTTGCTTGATTACTCCCTGAATTGTACTTAACTCAGTCCTATTATCATTACTAATTTGTAATCTTTTCAGTCGCGTATTTGTATGAAAGAATACGTAATTACATAACAGTGAGGTATGAATAGTGGAGAATACAATTTACATCCAGACAAAAAGGTCCTTGCAGTTAAAAACGTGCGATACATCCAGACAAAAAGGTATTTGCAGTTAAAAACGTACGATACTAAAACAACGTACTAACTAAATAATAACAACGTAGTTAGGTATCAATATTTGTAGTTAATATTTTAGCGTAAAAATTGTTGGCTATTTGTCCTTTTTTTGTGAAAGACTTGCTTTTGTATTTTAATAAATAGGTCGGTGAAATATTGTCTTTTGAAGATTCAAGATTTTTTTCGATTTTCGAGCAGCACAGCCGTGACCAGGCAATACAACTGGTAATTGTTTTGTGTAACTCATTTATGCATGATTATATAACTGTAATGCGCATGTCATCGGCTTACCCCTAGATGGGAGGGGGGGCATGGGGTTGGACTCGTGGCCAGCCAGGATGATTGTAAAATGAGCGGTGCAAAGTTAACATTTTTCCCTAGGGGTGGGGGAATTTGACAAGGCAAAGTCCCCTGGGTCAAGTGCTTGTCACTGAAAAGTCCCCCTGATATCTATCTCAAAAAACTGGGCTTCACCTGATCGATTCACTTTAATTTTAATTATACTTGTAGTCTGCTTAGGACGAAGTTTGTTGCGCTCGACTGTTAACAAGGACCACAACAGCACCCTTGAGATGAATTTGGCTATAAAGCGGCAAGAAGAATGGGGGAATTCCTTAGTCGCGAACTCACGATCGGGTAATGTGATCCCGCCGGCGACGCTTTCTTCAGTAGGAACAAGAACAGTAGCGTTTACATTAACAAGTGATATCCAGACTACACGTCAAAGCAATGCGCATGCCCGCAAAATTTACTTTTTGTGAGGTAACCATTCTTGCTTATTTTTGCTATGATTTGTTATGAGAAATGAATAGTTCTAACGAAGAATGAGAAGAATGGCCTACAATTATCTATCAATCAATTATCTATCATTGATCAATTGGAGCTTTTTTTTGGTAACTTCATGGTAACTGTACTTTCGTCAGTAGAACATGCAGTGACTGAAGCATGTGATTTGAAAAAAAAATCTTGTCTCCAACACGACCGATCTCCGCATAAAATAATTGACCGGGGGGGGCTTAAAGTTCAGGCTTATATACTTATGGCATTCTATTGTCAACAAAGTTTTTAGCTCATGTGTTTAACATTATTATGTTTTAAAGGATTAGGATGTGGAGAATTCATAGTTGATGCCTGATTTTCCTGAGATCCTCCATGTAGAACTCTAGCCGATTTTGAATCGCAAATGTCCCTGCTTGTATAAACACGACTACACTTGAAATAACTATAACTAAAATCCCGTCAAAATGTTCTCTGTAAGCTGTAAACCACAGGGAAATTTTTCGAAACTGTGTCTTGAACTTGCGTCACCTTTGACCGCCTAAGTCTATCGCAGTGATTTTACTTTGGATATTCTGGATCCTTGTTTTTTTTTTTCGCCCAAAGTAAGAAAATCCAAGACAGTCTTGAATTGTGGATTCCACACGTTGGATTCCTGATTGCAGGTACTTGATTTCGGCCTTTGTCAGTGAATCTTGGATTCTGATTCCAATCGTTAGTGGGATTCAGGAATCCTTCGGCTGTATTCCGGATTCCAAAGCCCTGGATTCCAGATTTTAAGGATTTCGAAATCCAGATTCCCTCCTCACATGTGGCGATATTTTGAGTTATGTCCCACAATGTAGAACTAACAATGTGTCCCTTAGATCCTGACATCATGCCCTCTCCCTATTATCCCTCTACGTCTCTCTCCTCTCGCCTCGTCCGCTCTTAAAAAAAAAAACGCCTGCTCGCAGGTTATGTGTCCCTTAGACTAAGATTTTAACACAGTTCTATCAACATAACCTCCGTCGATATCCTTATATGTCCGTCCCTTACCCTTGTAACGCGTTACCCTTCCTGTGCTGTCCAGGACAGAATTTCATCCTACACGAGAAAGGAAAGAGAATGCACGATGAGCCGCAAGCAGTAAAATTTCTGTCCCGTAATTTAATCAGTTAAATCATCAAAGTTGACAGGTCTTTCTGACGATCAAAGCGACCGTTCGGTTTACCATTTACACCTTCAGTGCGAAGACTGTCACGCGAACATTAACACCTTCAGGATAATTGCTTGCCATAACAGTGGTAGGTCGCGCGCGTCTGGTCGGTTTCGAAGAACGTGATCGTGACTGTTGTTTTCATTCAGTGACTGTGCGCGTTGATATGCCAACGTTTAAAACAGACTGCAACATTAAATTTTTGTTATAAAAGCAAAGAAGCTGCCGAGTAGAAAGTAAACCGTTCCAGACTTATTCCGTTTCATTCGTGTACTTTCATTTTGATGGGGTCTGTATGATGAATTTACTTCTGCCTTCTAATCCGGCACGTAAACAACATAGAGATAAAACATTCATTTTGCCTTTGTGGAGTAAATTCATCTTAAAAAAGTTAAACTAGTGGACCAATTTCTCCGCGTATTTGTAAAATAGGCATTTAATATGTCGCGCTACAGTGCGAAAATCTTCTTGTCGTGGATTAGATTTCAGTATACCTATTGTTAATCTTCATTTCGCGCCAGAATAAATTAGGGCGTCTAAAAAAATCACAAGGTTTGTCCCACTTCGAGTCCACCTTCTGGAGATACGCCGGCATGGTAGCTGGAATACATTGCCAAGGCGAAGATCTGGCATTTTTTCCTCCTCGTCTTTTTTCCCCCGCAACGTTTGTTTATATTTGTAGTGAGAATGCCGTGCACATCGGTGGATTTTACTTCAGTCAAGCGGCTTCAGTTCCTGCGGCTTGCTACTCATCATAAAGAAGAGTGCCGGAATCGCTTTGTTCGCCTTTAACAGATTTGTTGTCGAATGCAAGGTAAAAGAACGGACTACTGTAAGGTAAGGATTGAAGTTTAAATTTGTTTCTCGGCGAAAAATAGTGCATACAACAGGGGCACCCAGCGAGGATATAGTTCAAAACAACTTAACATAGCATCGTTGACGGTATTTTAGTATTTAAACGGTAGATATAGGCATATTTTTATCCCCTAAAAACTTTTCATCTGTTCGGATTTCCTAGCTGAAAGTCTAGTGATCCGAAAATTATAGGGATCAAAACTTACCTTCTCGAAAATTTCAGCCAGGAAAAGGCTCCCGAAAATTCTAGGTGGCCTTTTTTAAGGTCAAAATCCGTTAAAAATGGGTAATTTTACCATTTTGTAGATGTTCGAAAATCCTAGGAGAGGCAGGCAAGCAAGAAATTTTACAACAAATGTTCCGAAAATTCTAGATCTCAAATCGTCTTCCGAACAGATATTTTTCCGAAAATTGTCGTTGGGTGCCCCTGATACAACTCGTGAAACCCGTGAGTATTACCTCTGTTTAATATACCGGATGTCATGCGATGACCCCTCGCTTTTACGATGGATAAGACGGATACGAACAATATTGTCTTTCGCAACGTTTAGTATAATTTATTTAATATGGAGATCATCTGAGAACGATTTCTCGTTACGTGCGAAAAATTAGATGACAATGTTTGTGTGCTATAATTATACTGATAATTTCCTTCACCTTGAAACTCATGAAAGCCAAACTTGTTTAACCCTAGCAAAAAACTCTTTTAATGGAGGAACTCAACCTGATAGTTGCACTAAAATCTGATAATTGTCACTGCATTTGCAGGCTCTCTGTAACCTCGTGGGTAGAACATACCTGAAGGTTACGTTAATAATAATCACTGCATTTGCTCTCTGTAACCTCGTGGGTAGAACATACCTGAAGGTTACGATAATAATAATCTTTGCATTTTCTCCTTGTAACCTCGTGGGTAGAATATACCTGACGGTTACATTTAATAATAATCACTACATTTGCTCTCTGTAACGTCGTGGGTAGAGCATACCTGAAGGTTACGTAAATAATAATCATTGCACTTTCTCTTCGTAACCTCGTGGGTAGAACATACCTGATGGTTACATTAATAATATCACTGCCTTTGCTCTCCGTAACCTCGTGGGTAGAATATACCTGACGGTTACATTTAATAAGAATCACTGCATTTTCTCTCTGTAACCTCGTGGGTAGAACATACCTGAAGGTTACGTTAATAATAATCATTGCATTTTCTCTTTGTAACCTCGTGGGTAGAATATACCCAATGGCTACATTAATAATAATCACTGCATTTGCCGTCCGTAAACTCGTGGGTAGAATATACCTGATGGTTACATTAATAATAATCATTGCATTTTCTCTTTGTAGCCTCGTGGG